TGGAATGTTTCTGTTGGCTTAAAATGTGTTTGAACATCAAGTATTTTACCTTGAATGAATCATGGTCCTTTAAAAACTTCAGTGTCAATATGTTTTGATGACATTTCGTGTGTAAATTTAATGTTTGCTTGGAAAGAGTTCGCGAAGTCAATAAAATTTTTATTGATTTCGGTTTCCAAAATAGTCCACACCGAGAATATGTCATCAATAAATCTCTTTCAGAGGAATGGTTGGTAAGGGCTTTCATTTAAAAGTTTTTTCTCAATGTGTGCCATGAAAATGACTGAGAAAGCAACCGCCATCTTGGTGCCCATTTCTATGCCGTCTGTCTGTAGGTAGTGTTTGTCGTTGAATTTGAATGAATTTTGTGTTAGAATCAGCCGCATTAAGTCTTTCAAAAATTGAATAGGGATAGGTAGAATACGCTGATAGTGTTCTTCGTAGAAGCGACAAAAGATTTCGATTCCCTCTTCCTGGGGGATGTTAGTGTACAGTCCAGTGTAGCTAAAATAGCTGCCTCTGGGAGTGGCGTGTTTTCAATGAAGTTTATGAAGTGCGTAGTATGCTTGATGTAAGACTCTTGTTTTTGAGCGATCGGTCGTAGAGGCGAATCCACAGAACTAGAAATGCGTTCTGTGGAACCACCACTACCAGAGACGATAGGTCTGCCGACGGGAATAGCTTTGTGTATCTTGGTCAGCCTGTAGAACTGTGGTATTCGTGGTGGATTTGTCCTAAACTAAGCCACATAGTCATTAGGTCAATATGCCCGTTTGTAAAAAGAGCGTTTATAATTGTTATGACTTAAGTGGCTTTTTCGGATACAATAGGTCGAGTAGGAGGTTTGTAGAAATTCTCGTTAGAGACTTGTAATAGCGTCATTGCGTTGCCAACGAAGGTGACTTCGATGTTAGTAGTAATAGACGAGGGGTTCTGCGCAGTGGTGGTGGTGGTGGAGTGACGTCACAATAGCTCAGGGGATTAAAATGATGAGGTCATCATCTATAAATAGAAAGGTATTCTCTATAACAGTCTAGGGAGTTGACGTCATCAAAAAAACGATGAGATTATCATCAAAATAATCATTTAATATGGTAACTGGTGAGATTACATCATCAGCTTAAATTAAAAAGGTTTTTTGACATGATCAGCTATTTTCTATAGTCTATGACATCATTATTTATTTTCCTCTTTTTAAGATCATAAAAATGAAGGTTATTATTATTAATTATTATTATCATCCAGAACGAAAATGGTTATTATTCAGTCTTTCATAAGAATAAAGTTTAATCATTATCGTATGATCGCGAGGGCCATAGTCCCCGCCTCGAAAGAAATAACGTCTCTCAAGAAAACATTTTGCGACCTCCCAGGGTCAACAATTTCCAAGCTGAAAGAACTTCATTCTGAAGTATTTCTAACAGTTAATTTGGGCAGACTCTTGGTGTTCTTGAAATTTGCAGAGGAACTGGAACTGACGCAGGAAGAATGGGGACAATTATATGCTGTTATTTATCCCACTTTAATATATCAAATCTGAGAGCAGTTATGTAAGGAATTACAAAATTTTTTGTTCGCTGGGCCTTTGTATATTGTTTTTTTCAATAAAAACTGTAAACAACCAAACTATTGATGACTTGATCATAATACCAATAACAGTAAACTTGTGCAATAAATAGCAAATCTGAAACTTGAAATACCAATTACTAAAGGAAGAACAAAACTTTTTACTGCGCTTTTCACAAACATGCGAATTCTGAAGTTCAAAAGCCAACTGACGATTGTGTTTTTCGCTGCCGTCAATCATCTTAACGGACCTCTTAGGAAACAAAACTTTACTTCACGGGTTCAAAAGGTCAAGGTTTGTGATTTGTGATTGGTGGATTTCGATCTGTTTTGTGTGTTTCTGTGTTTCAAGGTTCGTTGCTTGTGATCGTAATTATGATTGACGGCAGCGAAAAACGCAATTGCGAAGGCGGCTTTTGAACTTTAGAGTTCGCATGTTTGTGAAAAGCGCAGTAATTAGGCACTGTTATTTGTGATTACACTTAATAAAGATGATGATTCCAATATTAAAAGCTGTTAGGTAATTAGCGACGCGCGACACCCACGTGTGTGTACAAGAAAAAAGAAACATGACTGAAAATAGCCCGTTTGTATTTTTTTTGTCTCTTTTGGCCTGGTTTTGGCATTTCTGGCCTGGTTATGGCCTTTCGGGCCTGTATTTGGCCTTTCTAATACTCTGTATAACCTGACTATTTGCGAAATAGAAGTCATTTGTGTTCAGCCATCGAACTGTCAACAGTTTTTTTAACATGGTTTACAAGAGAGTTTGCAGAAACTGTCCGATTGCATGGTGCGGGAAGAAGTACCTTGTCAGATTAGCTAACCATCTCGCGGATGTTCATCAGTTAGACCACATACAGCGAAGACAGTATGTACAAGAGGCGAAATTGCAACCTAAAGTTAAAGTCGTCGTTTACGAAAGTGAAGCGGATAATTCCGGAAAAAATCACTCAACTAGTACTCGCAGTCCAGTACAGACACAAGAAACGGTGTACGAACTGTCAAGATCATGAAGAAATAAAGCCTCTTTTAAAGCAAAAGCTAAAAGAACAACTACAAAGAACAAGACAAACCGAAAGAAACAAAGAAAGTCGAACTCTTGGCTTAGAGCCTATAGGAAAATTGTGTAGACGCGGAAGGATTATTTATTATTCCTCGTAATCGAACGGAGGAAACGAACTTGTAATAGTCAGTCAAAGGATTAATTTTCATTCCTTTCCCTTTCAAATCGCTGTGTATTTGACTCTTTTTGTCATTGGTTTTTTCAATTGTAAGTCGCGTGTTTCAATTGAACCTTGTTAAGTTATTTTATGTTTTTATTGTTTTTATGATAATAAGTCTCTTGAAAGTTCTCTCTTGGGGCTTTTCCTGCAGAGCTGTACTAATTTGTTTGCAACGGTGGGCTTGCGAACTCGCATAATTAACTGACTAACGATGTCCAAAAGCAGTCGATGGTGGACAACAACCCATCGCTCTAATCACTTCGCAATGTTCGTGTTTTAAATGATTTTACTACCTAAATCATCGCCTTACATAACTGCTCTCAGATTTGATATATTAAAGTGGGATAAATAACAGCATATAATTGTCCCCATTCTTCCTGCGTCAGTTCCAGTTCCTCTGCAAATTTCAAGAACACCAAGAGTCTGCCCAAATTAACTGTTAGAAATACTTCAGAATGAAGTTCTTTCAGCTTGGAAATTGTTGACCCTGGGAGGTCGCAAAATGTTTTCTTGAGAGACGTTATTTCTTTCGAGGCGGGGACTATGGCCCTCGCGATCATACGATAATGATTAAACTTTATTCTTATGAAAGACTGAGTAATAACCATTTTCGTTCTGGATGATAATAATAATTAATAATAATAACCTTCATTTTTATGATCTTAAAAAGAGGAAAATAAATAATGATGTCATAGACTATAGAAAATAGCTGATCATGTCAAAAAACCCTTTTTAATTTAAACTGATGATGTAATCTCACCAGTTACCATATTAAATGATTATTTTGATGATCTCATCGTTTTTTTGATGACGTCAACTCCTAGATTGTTATAGAGAATACCTTTCTATTTATAGATGATGACCTCATCATTTTAATCCCCTGAGCTATTGTGACGTCACTCCACCACCTCCACCATTGCGCAGAACCCCTCGTCTATTACTAATGATGTTAATAAACTATAGATCATAACAAACTTTCATCATTATACAATACAGCTGTAGTGATATTTTTCCGATATCTTTGTTTATGGTGACGTAGTAAATGCTCAAACTATGGAGTAATCCTCCCCAAAAAATCCAGTCCAGCCACCTTAAGCGTTTCATTAACGGCATAAATCATCAAACAACCAGGGTATTTCGAAAGTTGTTGTTAATGTTGTTCATGTTTCAAAAATCAACCCAAGTGAAAACGAAGCAAAGGCCACGTAGCTCTTCGCTCTCATGAACTGTATTTGTGGTATGTAATTTTAATTTCCTACATTGTTTGTTATTTTATACGGTAGAAGTTATTGTACTAAAATCTACTTTTTTGATGTCACTATTATTATAGCCAACGGAGCCCTCTATTGAAGAAATAAATGCTATCCTCACGGCCAATAACTGCCCTCATATATATTATGACAAGGTAATGTTTTTCAAGAAATCGTGTACGAAATATATTCACTTATCACCGAAAATAAGGCCAAATGTTCTACTGTACTTTAGTAAAATCCAACTAGTGGGCTATTATCAATGCTGCGTTCTGATTGGTTGAGTTACTGCGTACTAGGCTATATGTTATAGCCCACTAGTAGCGAAAAGCGCCGGCTCTGAAAACCAAAACAGTGGCGGCTGAATCGCGTTTTGCTAGCTAAAGTTGTTTTGTCTCGATATTTACGACCACCTAGTTGGATTTTACTAAAACAATTATTCCTCTCGCCCTCATGGCCTCTGAGTCAATAGCCCGTTCGGCCTTCGGCCTCATGGGCTGTTGACTCAGAGCCCATTCGGGCTCGGGGAATAATTGTTAATTATCGGAAATAACTGTCTTTGGCTCTTGTGAAGTCTAAGGGGAATGGGGGTGTGTATTGGAAGGTTTTGTACTCCCTTTTTTATCATGAATATTTTGAAACAGTGACGAGAAAAAAAAAAACGAAAAAAATACATCTTAATATTTCTTGGCCAAGACACGGAAGAGACTCGTGAAGAGTTAGGGTCAAGAGTTATGAATATATGAAAATCAAATATGTGAACTGCAGGGTGAAGAATTATACGAAGGATGATCATCGCAGTTATAGACGCAACGTTTTTTGACCTTAACCCGCCCTCTAACTCTTGAATTAGGGTCAAATAACGTAGAGTTTTATGACCCCAAATTTTTCAGATACTTTGCCCCATGAAAAACTGAAGGATTTTAGTAGTTGTAGTAAAATAAAGTCATAATGAAATTGTAATTGTCGATTTATTGTTGTTTTTCAGGAAAAAGACGCCTTTGAAATACAAAAACCTGCTGCCATTAACAAACACCATAAAGTCCAAAGGGACCTTGAGTTGGTCCTTCTTGGAGTATCTGTTGTTGCGGTGATCCTGTCTCTCATAATACTTACCATGATAAGGTACTAACTTAACGCTTAACGGACTTAAACTGAAAAAATTTGTCTCTTGTGTGTTTATGTGATCTTCACTAAATGTTACTTTGCACTTGACAGTTTTCAACTATTATCCTTACGAACAATGATTCTTAAAAATAGCAACTTTCTATAGCCAACGAAGACGGTCGCTTTTCATCGCTAAAAGGACACAAGAGACGTCCATGCCTGCACGAAGAATCCGTTGAAAGCACTGGGCAAAAAAATAGGGCTACTTATCATTTTTTTATTCGTTCTATAGGGTTAAAAGCAGCGAGAGAATTTTCGTTCACAAGAATCTTCTCTTTTCTCTTGGACTTGGTAACCTCGTGTATATTGTGGATATCGCCTCATTTTCTTCACGGATGGATCATATTGTAAGCAGTCTCAAGTTTTTATGGTTTAAGTTCCAAAGTTTACAAGCTATGTGTTAGATTAGTTGTCCCCTTTTGATCTTATCAGTAATGTAATGTGTAGTAAAAATTCTTCACAACGGCATTCTGTCCATTGGAGACTAATTTGAGGTCTGCAGCTCGCAGTTATGCAGGTTTTGTGAAATGCAACTCTAACAATACGAGAGATGGGAAGTGAAAGTTCGCTAGAAAGCCAATTAAAGGTGATTGACTCATAATCCTTATAAAATCTTATGATTCACAGCAAGAATATATTCAAAATTTTTAAGTTCTTGTATTGAAAAACTAGCCTGCGTTGACATATTCAGCATTAAACAACTAGAAAATCACACTGTTGGGACTAAAAACCTAAAATATTTGGGAGACCTACTATTTCTTTAATGCTCTATCAATTTCGGGTATCTTACGCTGGCATCCCAACATTTTTGCATCATATAGGTTTCCTTGATCTCCAGTTGCAAATAAGGACTAATTGGTGGGTCAATTGGTTGAGTTGGCAGGCATTTTTTGTGTGAGCCCGCAAGACTGAGAAACCCCCACAAACCCTTGTTTTTACTAAAACCGCTGGACAAAAAACCTCCCCTGGGTCGATGTTACATTGTCACATTCTGGCTAACCAGATTGGCACAAGGCCCCGGTTGTTCAAAAGCTGTATAGCGCTATCCATCGGATAAATCACTATCTAGTGGATAAGTATTAGGGAAACCAACTGCACTATACGCCCTTTGAACAACTGTGGCCTGATCACAATCATAATGATTCAAAAAAAAAAAATGACGAGTTTATTTCTGATGTAGCTTTCATTTTTAGCTCATAATGTGCATGAAAAAATATTTAAGTAAACGGATAACAACCCTACGAATTAGATACTGGTCTTCTCAGTTTTTATGCCAAGCTTAACGTGGGTGATGCTAGAGCCTTTTCACATGACGTCACGTCTGCCAAGAACAATCAAACTGCGGCCATGTTGGTGTCCCTATCATTCCTGTGGGAATTTAACTCTTTTCACATGTGACTACTCTCTTGTGTCGCTATAGGCTGCGTGGGGTCATTTGCTTAGCTGCTGGCTGCGTGAGTGAAAACGCTCTATTTACTTTACCAGGCCAGAAATTTAAACAATATTGTCTCAATATTGAAATTTTGATCGATATTAAGTAATGCATATCTCTTTGAGTTGCGACTGAATGAAAGTGTATTACTCGGTCCAATCGTCACCCGAAAGAAAAATCATTTAATAACTGAATAATAATTTAATTAAAGTGGTGAAAAAAGAATAAATTTAAAGGAGGTTTTGTATTTAGGCCCTTTGTTGCTTGGTTACGGTGATTCAGCACTATCTTCACACATCTCTGTTTACGTGGATGCTGGTGGAAGGAATCAATCTTTACATAAAGCTGGTCAAAGTCTTCTCAGTCAGAAAACAGTATCTGTCTTACCTGATGATGGGATGGGGTTCGTATCTTTATATTTTTACGATCAGACCAGACATGACATGTTCAGTTTACTTGAATACGAGATCCTTTGATCAAGTGATTTTGATTAAGAGAATTAATCACTTTTAAATATCGTCATAATATTATAACATACTTGGTATTCAAGTGAAAGGTTAATCTCAAGAGATTAAGAAAATTACTGGGAAGAACTAGGGCGTTATACGTTTGCCACAATACTTTATATCACGTGACCTAAGCCTACATGTGACTTCACGCGGTTCTGTCGGTTACAAAATACCACTGAAAGTATTTTAAAGAATTCATAAATGGAAGCAATTTATTGCAGGATTGTTTCACCAGTTATTAAAATTTAGATTTTAAGTGATATAGTTTGTAAAATGGTCCCAGTATAAGATATTGAATGAACAAGAACAAAAATAAGAATAATAAATGGGAAATACAAAGGTTTATAACAGTTGATGAGTATCTCACTATCAAGTATCTCACTGTCACTGTAAATGCGAATAATTCTCCCTTGGTTGATACATACATATGTATCTCGGATTTAATGAGTAGCAGTTGTGATAAAAGAACGGATTTTTTAATCACAGTAGATGTTGAAAAGATTTTGTTTCACGCTTAATAGATGTAAGCAGCGAGGCTAATTATTATTATGTCAGTCTGAATGAAGACAGATAAATCAAGGCAAAAACTATCTAAACTTGTTTGAAAAGGGAAGTTGTCTTAGTGACCATTAATATAAATCAGTTTTGAGATTTTCTTGTTTTTTTTTTTCAAATTTGTAAAGAAATCAGTTATAATTCCATAAAATCGAAGTTGCTATGCAATGGAAAGCCTCTATCATACACAGGTCTAATTCTTTTCAAATATACCGTAGTTCATACTATAATACCACAATATGATAAATGCCCTTTCCCCTACAAAGACACATTGCTGTTCGTCTATTTGATGGTAAAATTAACTGTACAGACCTTCAGTTTTATATTAAACAGAAAATGGTTTTATTTTCATTATTTTAAGGAATACCAGCAGTCATCGTTGGCTTGGTGGCTGCTATTCGTCCTTCATCTTATGACATGGGGAAAAGTTTGTATAAGAACATTACATGCGGATCATTGAAAATTGCTACGAAGATCGAAAGAACCAGGTACACTGATATTACATTGACAACCTTACTGTTACTGTAGTTTAATACCATTATAGTAATATATCATTTTTGGCCATCTCATTATTCTCAATCATCATCATTATCATGCTCATCATCATCGTCACCAACATCATCGACATCGTCATCAATATCATCAACAACTACAACTCAAACACGACATGATCGTTATCATCCGGCGAGCATCATCATTTTAACGTTATTAGCTCGCTTTAAATTATTCCTGTGTTTACAGATGCTGGATAAACGGCAGTCAGTGGATTTACCAAGGTCCAGTTTTAGCAATTCTCTTGGTGAGCACCAATGATTTCACATGGCATCCACGCAGCCGTTTCCCAAGTTTGAGGGTGAAATTTGCATTATAAGCTAAGAATTAAACCCGTGGCCCTCCAACTAAACGGAAACACATTGTAGTTCAAATTGGAGTTTGTGGGTTTTGGAAGACAGATAAGATTCGAAGTACCCGAAGGGAAACCTCTCGAAGAAAACAAAAACAACAATGACAACAACAAAATCAGCCTTCGTATGGTGTCCAACCGGGGGACTTAAAACCAGGCCTCATTGGTGGGGACTCTCACAACTACACCAGCCCTAGTGCTCCTTTGGGCCATGAAGTCTAAGCTTACCACATATATATGCTGCATACTCAGAAATGGATTGCCCAGACAGAGTTACGAAACTAGCTTTGGGTTCGAGGCCTGACAGCCACTACAATATGTAGTATAAGACGATGAATGTTGGAGTTTAAAATTTTTACTTCTTGCAGATAACATGGATGAGGGTGCAATACAAACCGTCAAGTGTGTCACTTGAAAAAGTTATTGCTCATTGAAACAAAATTCATCTTTTGACTCACAGCAGTTTACATTCAAGTTTACTCAGTGCTGTTTAGTTACCTCCCTTCGGGATTTCATTTTATGCCCTTTCACCAGCAGTTCAACGACATTATTTTTTACATTGCAGATAAACTTGATTCTGTTCGTGATCATTTTGAGAGTTGTATTTGATAAAATATCCAGCAAATATGGCAAAAATAAAATAGACGCTACAAGGTAAGTTCTCTTGTACAGCAATAAGAAGGCTCGATACTAAATTATTTCTACTATTCCTGTAGGTTTATTTACAATTACGGAAAATAGCTATTGAGGACACTTGATAGATTGTCCAATTTATAGTAACATGCTTTTGAAAAACCGTGAATGTCTCTTTATAGGAGAGGCATAAGAAGTACTGTTGCCCTGCTTCCCCTTCTTGGGGTCACGTGGTTGTTGGGATTCTTTGTTGATTTCCACGATTCCTTGAAGTATGCTTTTATTTTGGTGAACTCTTTAATGGTAAGTACCGGTAAAGCTCCATGGGCAAGTTTAAATTATTGATGTATTTGTCCCTAGAGTAGACCAAGTTCAGCTGCTCGTTAATTTGCAGTCTTTTTCTAGAGAAATAGAAATATCATGACTTCTGCTAACCGATAAGACTCAGGCTGATGCTCAAGTGATAAAGAAATCAAGAAAGCTTCTTTGCCAAAAACTAGCGAGGCTGACAGAGAATTTTTGTTGAGAGTTTGAAAACAGAAGTCCCCTTGCCATACGTGCTGACTCAGTATTTGTTTTTGTTCATAGGGACTTGTTTTTTGCATCTTCCATTGTGTTTTGGATGACCAGGTAAGAGGCATGGTGAATTCCCAGCCTTTTGCTAGTTTTCCTATTGAACAGGTGAGCGACAATCAGTTAATGACAGTTGAATTGCATGACCAACTACTGTGGAACCTTGATATAACGAACTCTACATATCGAAGTCCTCGGTATAACGAACAATTTTCTTTACCCCAGCAATAGTAACATGTATGAAAAAGAACCTCGATATAACGAAACATCGATAAAGAGAAAAAATTTTGCCAGTCTCCTGGCTCTTGGTTGAATCGAGGTTACACTGTAAATATACATGTTCATCACTCAACTATTTCTACACCAGGTTAGAGAGGCTCTGCGAGCACGTAAAGCCCGTAGAAGAAAACAGTCAGACCAGAAAGCAGGAACAACGCCCGCCTCCAATCCCACGACACCAACTGCCCGACAGAAACAGTCGCATTGACAAGTTTGTATTTTCTGGTAAGGAAGAGAGTATAAGGAAGAAAAAAAAAAAGAAAATGAAAGAAAGAGGAAAAAAAAAATAAGACGAGAAATAATTAGAGAAATCAGTTGAATGATTTCATTTTTTGTTTATCAATGCATTCTTACATGTAACGTTTTCTCTATAACTCGGTGAGTATAAACACACACGTAAAGAAGAAAGAGTTAGTTGAGGCCTTTATGACAACTATGTTTCAAAAAGTTTCTCTAAAACATGCCTCAAAAGTGCCCAAAAATGAGGGAATACGTTTGAAAGAAACTGTGGCGCTACCTCGATCGTTGGGGAGTGGAACAAAAAAAATTAACTTTATCAATTAAGAAAAACTAATTCAATAAAACCCTTAAGAAAAAGATTCAAACGCTGAGATTCCGATCTCTAGCAGCTCAGCCGAGAGCAAACAGACTTGAGTCGAGAGAGTTCGCATGTAGATCTCCCTTGACAGAGAGACAACTTACTAAAATTCGTTGCTTTTATTCTGCAGAAAAGAGTAACGGAAAAGAGGATGTGATTATAGTGATAAGCGAAGGATAAGATGAGTCCAGGATCTGAAATGTGTCATGCTGTTCAACTCTCGATAGTGACAAAATTACAAGTTTATTAACAGTTTTTGTTTTTGAATTTACAGCGAATTTCGTTGTATCACCCTGCCCTTTTTGCAAACTTCAAAGGGGTCTTGGGTTTTTCTGTTTCGTCAATCATTTTAGTTACGGCGGGGTTAATGCAAATCACAATGTAACGGGCTCGCTCAGCTTGGGTGAGATTCTGAGAGTGACTCTAGATTGCACAAGAATAGCGAAGGATTTCATGATGGTGGGTGAATTTTTGTCGAACGAAGGAGGAACGCAGACGCTTGCAAGTGATCATGACAAGAATAAGAAAGATCATAAACATCTACGAAGCAAAGGTTTAAAACCAGTGGTCGATTATTGCCAGAAACAGAACGATCACAAGCAACGAGTCTTTAAACATAAAACAAAAAAAACGGACCGAAATCGTACAATCACGAATCACAAACTACGACCTTCTGAAATCCAGCAAGTAAACATGTGTTTCCTTCGAGGTCTGCTAAGATGATTGACGGAACATAAAGCCCCAAAATTTGCAAAACGCACAGCGCGATACAACGAATTTCGCTGTAAGTAGCAGTATAGATAACGTTTTAGCTGCAGAATGATAGACTGGACTACGGTCTGTTAAATGGTTATCAAAATGTGTTTCATATTAAGTTTGAGGAAGAAAAACTGATTCAGTATCTTTTTCAGGCAAACGGTTTGTCATTTAGGATTCTATTCATCTTAAAGCAGTGCTGAGTTTTTCTAGTTAATGCTAAAATTAATCACCAAAAACTACAGAATGGAGGCCTTCGTTATTTGTGGTGTACATCGAAAAGAGTATATATAGACGTTTTCTTGTCAACTTGCTTTTTCAGTGTACGTCTGCTGTTTTGAGGGCCTACAGGGGCCCGCCTACGCATATATATATACACTCCTTATATAATCTCCTTTTCGTGGAACTGCGAGAACGGAGCCATTTCTTCTTGGCTACGAAACGTTTATGAAATGTACCTTACTAAGGAAACAACAGCATGTGGAAGGAGATTATGGTATGAACAAGAATACATGCAATTGTTGTTGCTATAGGCTATGCATATTAACAGACAGAACGTACACTTCAAAATACGTAGTACAAACTTGCCTTGGCTTAACTAGAGCTGATACATAACCGCTATATAATTGGTCGCTTTCTATGCTATCATGATCATATGTTAATTTGTAATAAAAGTAATGAAACTGTAGTGTAGAAATAAAAAAATAAACAACTGAAGGGGTAAAACAAACAGGTGGCAATTTCCTTAGGAAAACATTAACACCAATGCAAATGTCAAAATCAGACATTTTGTCTTAAGGACTTGAGTTTTACTAGAATCACTTTTGACTGGACCTCCCCTTGTCACGTGCTTATCACATGTCTCTTGTTTGCTGTCACTTAAACACAAGGCGTGGTCCATCACGTGGAAGATGTACTGCTGTTCCACAACACCATGAAATAAGTAGGCTCCAGGGCCGTCCGCGTATATACCTGAAGTAGTGCAACGGAAAATTAGGTAAAACTTCAATGACCAGATGAAACAAAGAAAACTGCTAACTAAAGAAAGAATTATCATTTAGCATTGTAACCGCCATTTTTCTTCAAGCTTTAAAGGTCATGAAGACTTATTGTTTATTAACCATTGCGCCTTATGAAAGGGAATCCAAGACAGTCTTGGACTCTGGACTCCACGCCATGGATTCCAGATTCCAGATACTTGATTCCAGTCTTTGCGTTGGATTTTAATCGTTAGAAGGATTCCGGATACCTTGAACTGTATTCCGGGGATGGGGAATACAACAATTGACGAAACAATACATGGTTGCCTAAATTAAAGTAACTTAAATTCAAGATCAAGAATCGAGTGGCAATAAATATTTCATAGCGACTCTTTTTGCCTAAAAACGGTACTGGCTGAACGCACGAAACAAACAAACAGCTTGTATAAACAAGGAAGTTTTAAAAAGATAGAGCCCTATTTGTGGAAATGATTTTCAGGTACAAGGACAAAATACACGGCTGTCAAGTAAAGCGAATAACATGCCTTAAAAACTAGCGAATACACTTCAGAGGATTCAGATTCATTCCAGGTCCACCGAGCCACGTTCTAAATAAAGTATTCGTGTAAAGACGTTTCCATCAGAAATTAAGGTAACGTCTTAATGTCCTCTTTATCATGATTGTCAGCACTGTTTATACTAAGAACATGATTAAGCTAAGCCTAAGGGCAGAGCTCTCGTCTACATACTTATATTTACTTGAAACGGTAAACCATTGCAAGGAAATTCATTTCGAATTTGCCTTTGTCAAACTACTATATGAAACCTTATTTGATCTGTTTTTTTTGCTCAGTTTCCTAGAAATTTAATAGGAGTTTAAGACCACTAAAACACTTACCTACGTCTTCAATTCCATGAGTTTCCTTGTACCTCATTACCGTCGCTTGTTGAAGGAAGTCTTTGTTAGTTGTATCAACCCCTGTGAGATTTTCTCTGCTACCATTAACCCCTCCAAGTCCATTGGCATATCCTAGAGTGGTGTATGGTTTCTCATCACTGCCGAGGTGCGGTTTGTTATCGTAAATGTCCGTTACAAGACCAAAGATCGGATTTCCTCGTTTTGGGTAGCCACCAACAGTGAATACGTGTGAGTGGTCAGCGGTTGCAATGATGAGCGTGTCATCTGTGTGAGGGAAAATGATCTAATTTTAAAGCTCGCCAACAACTAAAACGTACACGTTATTTGGTTAGGGAGAAGTAGACACCAGTTGTTGTTTTTTTGCGCAGGAATCTCATTAACGTCCTCAGGGATAAATAAACGCTGATGATTATAGCCGTAGGTCTATATCTCATAAGCAGAGTGCATTGGAACTTGATTAAAGTAAAGTCTTGTGCTATTTTAGGTGGTTTAAGCTGTTAAACCCGCCACGTACTATTTTGAGGCGGGCGAGCTTGATGTATTCATGCGCAACTTAATGAGATCCTTGCGCAAAAAAGGAGTAAGCTATACTTCTATGGAGACTAGCGAGCAAGTAGATAAACAACAATCAAAACATAACGCAAAAATAACTCAATATGATCTGTATTGATAAATAAACTACCTAAAACAAAACAAAGTAAAAGTAGCTTCATGTTTCCATAACAACCTTGACTATGACCGATCAATTAAAAAATGGAAAGTTTTTTCACATTCGTGAATGCTCACGTTTTCATAAAGCAGCCGTAGAAGCAAAACGACAAAACCAACATTAAATATGATCTTGAAGGTATCATGTCAACCTACCCTTACTGATCATACTGACGGCCTTCTCAACGGCTTTTGCCATGGCAACAGCGTCATTTATCGCACGTACTGCTTTTCCAGCGTGGTGACCGTGATCCACACGAGCAGCTGAAAAAAATGAGATGAATAGACAATTATATAACCAAATAAATAAATAAACTGTATTGTTAACAGTAATTCCAGTCACGTTCTCTTAATATGAACGCAGGTAGGTCAACCCGATCTGTTCGTGTAGCCGTTGTTGTTATTGAAATCTATGACTGAAATCTGAGCATCAAACTTTAGTATATGGATTGAAAACAAATACAAATGAACATTAAATCGGCTATAATTTCGTCCAAAATATGGATTTGAACTTAACACTTCAATGAACGTTCACTGAAAGGAAATATTAATGCGATGTGCATGTATTTCGTCATTTCGAGTTGTGTTAAAGCTTTCTTTTGCGAGACAACTACTTGAAGTAGTCGAAAGAAGAAAAGGGAAGTAGGCAAAAATGACAGGCATCCGAAAATAGAATATTCTAACAGTTAGAACTGTCGCTAAACTAGACCAACACCCTTTAAATTTATAGGTTTATTTTTGCTGTTTGTAACGTTTGATATGATACTTGGGAAGTATAGTTGTTGGAGAAGAATTTTAATTTTGACGTTAACCTTGTAATTTTTACAGTAAGCAATTAAATTCCATAGCGGAAAGGAAGCGTAAACGCCCCTTAGTGAAATAACAAGAAGTTAAATTGCGAAAATAACTTACAATGAATACAATAACTTCTAGTCACCTTCAACGAGAAGAAAATACCCTCTAGGGTTTTTCCTAAGTATCTGTATGGCTTTCTCTGTCATTTCTGCAATGGATGGTTCTCCAGCAGTATCATTTTCGCGATCGACCTCGTAATTCATGTGACTCGGCTCAAATAGACCTTAAAGGTAATAAGCAACATAAAAATTCTAAGTTGTAGGTTTACCCATTTTCTCCCGAAAAAAAAAGGTGGTAAAGTTTTAAAATAAAATTTCCAGATTACGATACGTATTGCAGCGTCATTATGTTTGGAAAGACCATGCGAACTGGAGAAGGCAAAAATCAGAAAC